CCCGAGACATTTGTGGTAGCACGAGGATAAGTGATCTAAAAACTGCGAGAGAGAAGCTTTTAAACAATAGTAAAGACCGGGGTTTCGAAAATAAACAATGGAATGGATTGTCTACCTACTGATACTGATGTAATCTAAGTATTAAAAAATCAAAATAATTTTGAAATACTGTACGTAAAAAGATAGCGATAAAAAAGTTTTTGATAACGATTGGTCTAGAATGTGGCCACATCATATTGAGGAGAAATCTAAGGCCTCCATGCACTAACATGACAAATCTAAGCTCTTCGAGTGTCAACATGAGCCAAACTTAACTTCCTATTAGTGAAAGAAAATGATGCTTTCTATTGATACTAGACGCAAAATATGTGAACGCATACCATAATGTGAAAACTAAAGCATAAAACATACACATGACGAGAACATTAAACTATGTGGTTTGTTTGCCTTGAGATGTTATGTCCCCAAGCATGGCAAATTGAAATCCATCATACTGATGAGAGTTATATTATATATTTTTGGATACAGAGTTATGTCTCTAACCCTCAGCAATAACACTACCAAGAAGAGAACTGATCTCACGTCACTATTCTACTGATCAAGAGCACCACCTACTGATCAAGAGCACTACCGACTGATCAAGAAGAGAACTGATCTCTAACCCTCATAAAGAGCACTACCTACTGATCTCAGATCACTATTCTATAGCTCAACCACTATTCAAGAAGAGAACTTTGAGAGCAACGGATATGTTTTTTCTCAATAAAAAGGTATAACACCTAAAATATCCATGGGAATTATTTTTTTATAAGAGACTAGCTTTGCACTCTGCAGGCAGCACCATCGCAATGTTTCACTTAATTGGGAGCTCATTTTCTTTATATAAAAGCACTATTTTCATGCATATGAAGCCTCTATCTCTTTAGAGGAAACGACATTTTCCAAAAAGGTAGGGCACAACTATCTTTTCTCTCTCATCCTTGTACATAGACGTCACATATGTCTCAAACTTAAGATATATAACTAAGAGTCATAATTTTGTCGGATTTTATATGTTTTATCCAAACTTATCCCTATTTGATAGAATTTATTTGGATGGTGATTTTGCTTATCAGTTGTCACCATCTCTAAGACTGTTACTCATATCATGCCTAGAATTTGCATGCATGCATTGTCAAATAGAGAATCTATTTTCAAAATCAACGGCTCAAATGCTCAAAAGAATTAACTTCCATTTTAGAATTTGAAATCACAACCATCCATTTGAGTCAGTATTAAAAAGCTGATAAATGATGAATAATCTACTCGTCTCACATTCGTTTTACGTGCAGTCATGTATGATATTTTAGTCATTTTCACCCTCTCGAACCGAAGAGAGGCCATTTTAGCTCTTTTACGGTTCCGGAGCCGGACTATCCAAGCAGACGAGACAAGGTGTGGACCGCTGGGATCGGGGTGTTGCACCTATCCCGTCACTATTCCTGTCTTGTGTATAGTTAAGTCTGACAGCTGTAGCATCACTTGCCTTGCTCTAGCTCTAGCTTCTGGGAAAAGAGTTCTATTGTGAGCTTTGCTTGCTTTTGCATAATGGTAACCATTGATCATCTATTGTGAGCTTTGCTTGCTTTTGCATAATGGTAACCATTGATCATCTATTGTGAGCTTTGCTTGCTTTTGCATAATGGTAACCATTGATCAGGGTTAAAAAAATCGTCGAGCTGGCTTGGAATTACCTCAGTCAACTTAGATCCATAGTTCACTAGTACCAATCCCTTTGAAAATGTGACTTGAATGGGTTGATGTATTTTTCTTTTGTCATTTTCTTGATTTTCTACTCGAATTGCCCTATTTTAACATGTTTTAAATCAAATTTTTGCCAAATTGATCATCTCCTAGCACTTTTCATATTCACAAGCATAAGTTTCAAACCAAAATTTTAAATTGTACTAGGGCAAGTTTTTTTTTTTAATCAAAATCTCGTCATTTTTTAGCTTCAAATATCTAATCCTTTTTTATTCTCCCTTATTTCTCGAACAAATTATTTGAAATTCGTATCAAAATGATAACTTTGAAGTCCCCTAACAAATCCATTACTACATAATATTAGCACTTCAAAGCATTTTTTGTACATTCGAGCTTAGATTATAGATTTCATAGTTTTTATCCACAATTTTATTGGGGATTAGATGGGGTTAGGTTCAATCTGCAACATGAATTCAATTTGTAAACCATATATCCATTTATTCAGACTTTTCTTTGCTCGATATTTATTTTTATGCAAAAATGCTTGGATTTTCAAAGTATTTGCATTTTTGTAAAATATTATGTCATATTCTGTTAAGTTTTTGTTCTAGAATTTGCTAGGAATTCAATTTCTTCACTTTGTGATATTTCTATTTATTATTAACAGCTTTCTTTGTTAATTCAATAATTTTCACATTGTGATGTTTCTATGGTGGGAATGACTTTTAGCTATCTCGTTGTTCTTTTTGTTTCTAGATTGTATGTTTTGTTCATAGTTTTAAAACTCGGCCGAGACAAATCGGACTCGGCCGAGTAACTCGGTCTTGGTCAAGACGTTTTATAAAGAAGCACTTTATTGCCGCGCGCACTAACCAGTACACCATTCTTTATTTTTGTGATAAAAGAGGCAATTATATTATATATAATCATTGGTTTTCTTCATTTTCTTTTTTTAAAAAAGAGCTAGACTCAGGCGAGTTACTCGGACTCGCCCGAGTAAATCGCCTCGGTTAGGTCCTAAGTACCGAGTAGAATTTTTTAACACTGATTCTGTTTTTTTAAATTTTGTTACTTGTGTTATTGATAACTAATTGATCTTAGGCATGTTAATATTGTGAATTTACTACAGTTTTGTTTGATATGGAACGATCGGTAATGCTCAGACAAGGACATGTCTATCATATTTATGTCTCTTTTATAAATTTATCAAAATATGTAACATATTCAACAAAATCCTTTTCACATAGCCACATGTTTTCATTTTTTAGAATCTTTTTGTCAATTTTTCAGAATTTTTAAGCTGCATGGTACAATTGAGTTGAATTGTTAAAACTTTCACAATTTGATATGATTCACCAAGCCTTCACCCCACCAGTGCGCTTTTTAGCAGTGGTGATATTAAAAGAATTAAAAAATATATAAAAATAAAAAATAAAAAATCTATTTGTAATATGTTTTTTTATGCATAGTATCCTTTTGACAAAGAGTGGAAAGTATTTTAGCCATGAGTACTTATTTTTACATTTTTTTTTATATTTTTTGAATTATTTCAAAAATACCGTCAATCACAAATTGAGTTTTTTAAGTCGATTTTTATTACTTTTTTTAACCTCATTTAGACGTGTTTTCTTTATTCTTGCTTTAAACTTATATTTCCTTTTTTTCTTTAAATAGTTTTAATATTTTTTTAACATTATATACCTTGAATAGTACCCGGACTCAAAGCAAGTACTCGGCTTGGGCCTGGGTCGAGTACATGGCCCAAGTCGTTCAATCGACCACTGCTTTCTATGACATTGCTCTAGGTATTATAGATCATAACACAAAGATTAGATCCAAAGAACATGATACGAGCTAGGGGCATATTTGGCATGTTGTTGCCTCAAGTTCATATCTTTCCACAAAAGTAGAGGATTCTAACTGCCAAAAAAGTTAATATGATTATTTGCTCCCTGTACCTTCTCTGCACCCTCCATGGGAGTATTTCCAAGACTCCAAATTCTGGGGATGTAACTTTCTCAGCTTTGTAATGAGTGCTTACAAAAAGAAAGAAAAAAAGAAGACAGGAATTGGACCATAGAAATGTAGGTCTTTAGTTTAGATTATTTCGATTCGAATCGAGTGATTCTTGAATTGAACTCTCACGCATATCACAAAAAACTAAAAATAAGATAAATTAGAAAATTGAAAAGATAAAGTGATTATAAGGGTTTTGCATCTAAAATCTCTGACCCTTGAATCTGGATCTTGATCGAGCGATTCCAAGTTAAATTGACCATCTAATTTTTATTTGACAATCCTAGTGACCAACTTCAAAAATATATGCATTAAAAGAACATTTCAAGAATAAACTGACCATCTAATTTTGATTAGGGAAAACTTTCTATACTTTTCCTACTATATAAAACTTATATACTTTCCTCTATCCAATTGTCCATTCTAAATGGAAGGCGGATATGGCCCCAATCACACCTCTACACTAATTTTTTTTTTAATTTTTTTTATAGAATATTTTGACACCAAATTTTGGGCACCGACTTCTCTCTTAAAATTTCACTTGTAACAAATATAAAAAAATATTTTCAATAAAATAAAATAATTAAAATACTTATGAAAGTTTTAATGGTATTGTGGTCATTGTATTTTATTAAAATATTTTTTAATATTGTTTTTAGGTCTGTCGATAATCGTGTATACTCTAAGGGCGTCAAAATTAAAATCAAACGGCGAGTGGTTTACTTGATCTAGATTAGACGAAATATAAAAACTTTTCCCTTCTAATATAAGGTTGTTGCTAGGGTTTTCGAAATTTAGAATACCCCTAAACATAAAGATCTCAAAATTTTAGATCACCTCCAATAGGTCTTTTGCCCGGGAGAGTAAACATACATTGTGATTCCGCAGGAGCATGCTAAGTTCCATGTAGTATTGTGATCCCGCAGGAGCATGCTAAATTCCATGTAGCAATTAGTTAAAACTTAAAAGAGAAGTTGTCGTTAGGACATTTTTTCTCCATCTCTTAAGACGGAGACATAGTTACATCCGAACGAGGCGCAATATTATTACAACAAAACAATAATCCCACAATCGTCCGAAAAAAGAGGGCCATTTCCTATCCCACATCGCACGTGCTCGTACATTTATCGCACGTGCCGTCTCCATCGCCCCTTCCCCCTGCCTGAGAAAAGGCTTCGCGTGTTTCTCTCTCTTGACTGCAAAGTCTCCAAAAAAAAGAAATAAATTTAAAAAAGACGACAATTCAGTCCTCTCTCTCTCTATATGGAAGAGAGATTCAGACCCACTTTCTCTCTCTAAAAGGAAAGATTCCAACCACTCCCACTAAATCCCTCAAGTATAGACATTTCGAACCAGCTCTCTCTCTCTACTGGCTCTTTCCTTCCTGCCCACTGTACTAATCTTCTTGGGTTTTTCGTTTTATATTGTTTTTGCTCTCTCTCTCTCTTTCTCTTCTCTCTCTCTCTCTCTCTCTCTCTCTCTCTCTCTGGAACAAATGCCGTTCAAGTCCAGGATTAAATGGGCAGGTTTGGTTGGTCTCGTGTTATCGGTTTTCTCTCTCTTGACCCATCTCATACTAGCCAGATATTCAGGTCGATACCTGGTGCAAAACGCAGCTGCCATCACCATTTTCAGATGGAAGCCCATATTTTCAAACGTGGATCTCAGACCCACTGTGAGTTTCTTTCCCACCGATCAAAGACTTTGCCTCTGGCTTTCACTCTTAAGTTTCAAACTTTTTAGGACCCTTCACAGATTTTGCCTCTGTTTCTCACTCTAACTTTTAAATTCCTTAAAACCCATCAAAGGTTTTGCCTTTTCTCTCCATCGCACTTGGAAATTCCTTACTGCCCAGCACAGAATTTTCGCTCTTATATTTGAAGTTCTATTACCGATCAAATATTTAGCTTTGTTTCTCACTAAAAAAATTTACAAAGCTGTGATTTTTCTATTTTTAATTTGCTACAGTGTGCTAATTTCTGATCTTCTTTTTCTTATTTTTTTTGGTTATGATATTTCATTTTTTTCGCCTTCGTTCTATCTTTTGGAAATTTTTCGGTGGGGGTGTTGCAGAGTGCAAAGTATGCGAGATTATGGGGACCTGTGAAGCCTCTTGAATCTTTACATCCACATGCAAATCCCAGGACTAGCTACAAAGGTCAGATCTTTTACTGTTTCTTCTCTCTCTCTCTGGTTCAGCATTTTCATTATATTAGGTCAACATTAATCGATGTGGTAGGTGGTTGATGTGCATTAGTTTTTATCTCTGTTTATGCTATAGTTTTAGCATTTTGGGATCTTTGTCTTAGCTCTAAGTTATGCTTTTATTGTTCTTGTTCTTGGTCTTTGTTCTTCTCATCTATGGAATATGGTTATTTCTAATTAATTATATGTAAATGTAAGTTGGTGATCTGGAGAAAATGTTAGCTTTTCTGGCGAGGGTCACCTTGAGTCTTTAATTTAAGAGCATTTTCTTATGAGATTGCTACAAATCTCTGCAATTCCCATATTAACATTTATACTCAACAGATGGGAGGATTATGCCTTTATGCTTGTGTAAGCTCAAACTGTTTTTCGTAAGGCCTCCATTGTCCATGGATTTTCACATCCTACACTGCCATCAGTTGTTTCATTTTTTCCATGTTACAATAATTGCTAGGATTTCGCAAGACGTCATCTGTGGATGGCACATGTGACCATACGTTCCCCCAAACTACTATCATCTGTGTTCTATAGTTGTTTATGTACATACATTATTTTCTTAAACCATAACAAAAAGCACACAACCGATGAATAATCAAATTTCAGGGAAATTTGCCAATGGATTTCCATGAAGCATCAATCTTGGGAGTGGAAATAGCACCCAGTTACAAGGGTTTAGGAATTGACTTCTCTCCTATTTGGGATAAATTCCATCAGCTTTTGAGAATTATGGTGTTAAGGATTCTGCTAAAAAATGAGAATTGACTCTTTGCTCTCTCACTTTGAGGCATAGAAGTTAACACCTAATCTACATTCATAATGATTTTCCACCAAAGAAGGCTTTAGGGTATTAGGGTGTAGTACAATTTAAGGGAGACTGATTAAGGGAGGTTAGGAAATTGTTTTAGGGGAAATGGATCACAAAGGAAGGGCATAGCTAGGGAAGCTATGCATGGTGATGGGTGAAAAGGTGGGGGGGAGCGGGAAGAAACATAACCAACCAAAGCCTTTACAACATAGAAAAAAACTGTGAGCAGAGACATTACTGCAATTAAAGAGTGATTGAGCCCTGAGGGGCCTCGCTATTGTTTAGTAACCACCTTCTTGATTATGTGTTGTCCCAGTTCTTGGTGGCAATGACCAATGAGAGAGGGAATTCTTTTCATCAAAGGCTAGAATGAGGGTCTCTTTGTCATGAAGTGGTGAGTGGCTTAGGAGGTGAAGTTGCAGGACAACACTATTGGGTTTTCCATCTATCTCGATATGCTTTATGTAGTTTGAGCTAGTATTTGAAATATGGATGTTGTGGCAGTGCTCTATGACCATATGCTCTTATAATGGACAGAGCCCGAATTTTTGTTCTCTCTAGGTTTTACAAAACTCTGTTATTCAAGTTCTTTTGGATCCATTTGGTTTCCATGCTGCAATTTGGGAGCATTATGAGTGCATCTCGGTGTTCGTGGGCAGCTGGATTGTTGGCTTGATTAGTGGCATCTTGGATGGTTGGTTGTATTGCTTTGTTTGGTTTTCATGCCTCTAAATCATTATTTGGGATGATGGTGTTTGGGATACCCAGGGTTTATTTTCTGCAGTTTAGGAGAATAGTGAGACCTCCCTTACTTCCAATCAATGATGTAATTTTGTTATTGATGACGTTGCAGGTGGCTTGTTTTTCTCGTTTCCAAAGTAAATGAAGGAATTAAGTAAATAGGATAGTTCAAAACATGAAATGTCGAATGTTGTTTCTAGAATTCCATCACTCTAAAGTTATATCAAAAAGTTCACCAACTAACTCTAAATTGTTTACAAGGATTTCTCCAATCTCATATCTACTGCAACTGCACTTTTAGTCTTTTATTTGTATAACCTTAGTTGATATCTGTAAATGACAATGTTTAAATCATCATCATCCAAGCCTTATCCCAATTATTTGGGGTTGCACAAAAATAATGATATTTTCTCACAAATGTACATAGTTTAGGGACCACCTTATGATTTTTTTTTTCAGGTGTTGATTGGTATACTTACACATTAGGGGGATTTAATTCACATACATATTCTGTAAATTGTCGAGAGGATGCTATTGAGACCAGTCTTGGCCACTTGCGAAATGAGGATCATAGTTCTGGAAGTTTGACATGTAGAAAACCGATAGTATTGCAAAGTTTTTATTCAACAATGAAATGATCTAAACGGTTATGCTTCATGAAATAGAGCTTTATTTTCTGTTATTGTGTATACATTATGTATAATTATTTCATTTTTGTCTTAACACAAGTGATATCTTGCAGGTCCTGATTTGAAGAACAAAGGTTTTATATTCATCAAGATACGTGGAGGTTTCCATGAGATCAGGAATTCGGTAAGAATTAGTTTTTGGAGCCACTCTCCTCTTGTGATCGTAATGACAAATCTTAGTATACTGGGAATTCTTTTAAAAAAACTTTGGTTTAATTTCCTCCACAAGTACTTTCAAGAAAGTATTTGGGGAGATTTCAATATGTGAAAAGGATAAAAATGTTGTGACAAAAGAAAATATCCTTTTCTAGTTGAGGACAATTTTTTTGAAAAGTTCAAGGGAGAAAATAAATAACCAAAGGAAAAATCTCGCGAGAATGAAGAAAATGTTCATTACAAAAAATTCCAAGAAATTTCAAGAGATTTTTTAAGAAAATATTGGGATTTTTATCACTATGGAACTTGATATTGTTAGTTTTGTTCTAATGAGAGATGTGTAATTCTCTCTTTTACTTTCAGATATGCGATGTAGTAGCTATTGCGAGGCTTCTCAATGCTGCTTTGGTTATTCCAGAGCTTCAATCGACTACTAGCACCAAGGGGATAAGGTCTTTCTTATAAAAATAGTAGTTTTTCTGCAGCTACCATTGATCAAGTAAATGGTAAATTCATGGATGATTTGAATTTCTGAATGTATATGTTTTCTTTTGCAGCTCTAGGTTCAAAAGTTTTGGGTACCTTTATAATGAGGATCAGTTCATTACTTCACTATCAAAGGATATTCTCGTTGTGAAGGGCCTTCCTAAAAATTTTAAGCTAGCAAGAAAGAAGAATGAAATCCCAGTTTTTGCACCTCCATTTTCAGCATCCCCCAAGTTTTATCTTGATCGAGTTCTTCCTGTACTAAAACAACATTCAGTTGTTGAACTTCTTGTTTATGATGGAGGATGCTTGCAGGTGGTGGTATTTCTATCTCAATGCTTATGGGAATTTTTATTTGTGGACTTTCTGGTAACTAAGCAGTCATTACATTTTCTATAGTAATTTTTCTTCTTCTAAAGTTCAAATTATATTTATGTATAAGATATACAAAAAACCTCACGAAACACGAGTTTGAGGCAATCCATGTGCTGGACACTTTGTACAAAACGACTAAAAGAAAAACAAAAAGAACCAAAAAATGAGCATCAAATAAAATTTTGGCTACAAGTCGGGTGCAAAACCTAAAGAGATTGGGTGCTCAGTGGACTAGGTGTAGCAACATACAAACCTGTTGTTCACACAACCTTAAAAAATCAGCGAGCTGTTGCTGATAGAGAAAAAAAGGAAGAAGAACCAATATTGATAGGAGACGAACTAGGTTTTGAAGAAGAAGAGAAGAGAAGAGAAGTGCGAAAGTGGTTAAAGTGTTTCTGGGTGGGAGTGAGAAACGTTGGATGGAGGGGAAATAGAAGAAGCGGTGATATAGAGAGAAATAAGAGAAAGATAGAAAGAGGAAAGACCCGGCTTAAGGTAGATGCAGAGAGGCCTATAGGTGAAAATGAACGGTGATTTCATCTACTCTTATCACCATCCAAACTTTATCGCATGGTCACAGTTGTCCGGTAGTGTTCAATTTTCATTTTTTCTTACAAATCCAAATTATTTGAAATTTGGAGCGTATGTACATCTTAGTGAGGTGTACTTAATAAAATATAAAAAAATTGACCAAAATACCCCAGTAAATTTTCTGAGGAATTTTGGTCAATTTATATTTTACGAATTATTTTTTTTATATTTTTATTAGGTGCGTCTCACTAAGAACACACGTTCCAAATTTCAAATCATTCCAATTAGTAAAAAAAAAGAAATAAAAGTTGAAATACTATCGGACAGCTGTG